TACATTTTGATGTATATTTTTGCTGAATATTATTGCTTTATGCTATTTTAATTGCTGTTAGTGGCTAAACACGTTTGACCTAGAGTAATTATGAACTTATTAGTGGATTAGAGATTGTTTTTACCCATTGGTTATGCTTAATATTAATTTTAGTTGCTCAATCTTACATTTATTTATCTATTTAATGTTTGGCCACCATTAACTATGAATTTGGGTGTTGGGGTTTTTCTTTGACAAAGGGGAATCTCATTTAGACCCTTAGATTAAGTAATATGAGATTAAATTATGATCTAATTTGTAATTAGGATAAAAATATACCTAATTTCCTCATATAATTAAATTGGAGTGAGTTGGAATTAAAGTTTCCTCTTAGATAATTTTGTTAGAAATAACATAATTAATTTGAGAGAGGGTTATTTGAGGTTCAAAAGGCCCTTATAGCCATTAATACTCTAGATTAACAAAATTAGCATTAAAATTAATTAATTGGGTAAAAGCAAGATCTATGAAGCTAGCAAGAGATTAGTGACTCTAGGTTGCATTGGACATTTGTAGTTGTTGAATTGGGAATCTCATTGCTTTTTATTCATTTCACTTTTTAATTTTGCTTAATCAATCGCTTTTAATTAGTTTTGCTTTACGTGGATAAAAATGAGAACTTTATTGCCTAATTATTATTATGCTTGATTCCTTATGGGATCGACCTTGATGCACTATTATATTGCACTTTGACCCATACACTTGCGGAGAAATATTTTGTGTGCATCATACTCCAATCCTGTAACTTTATCAGATTTGTAAGGTGTGGTAAAATGTGACTGTTAGGAAGAGAAAAAATCACTTGTTCTCTAATGTAATGACTCTAAATTTTAAATTAAATAAATTCCCTTCTAATTGATAATTAATTAATTTTAATTTTATGATAAAGAAAGAGCAATGATATATTACAATTTATGTTGGATATTTATATAGAGGTCTGGAGTTCGAATTTTATTTTAGCCAAATGTTAGTTTATTTTTATGGAAAAGTACTAAAGAGTCCTTGCCTTTTATTATAGAAATATTATAATAACAAAAATTGATAAGGTTTTCTTTTGAAATTTTCTCAATAAATTTTGGGTCTTGTTTTGTAAATTTTCCCATGAGTTTATTATTTGATTTTCTTTGGACCTTCTTAGTCGGTGCAGCAGGCTGAAGAGAGAGGGAGAGGTCACGATTTTTTTTTATATTTTTCTCCTTTTTTCGATCGTGTTCTAGGACCAGAGAAGTCTGGAAAACTCTACCATTTCTCCTGTCTTCTCCTTCTCCCCTACCATCTCCAATGGCTTGAGGCGTGTAAGTGAGAGAGAGTTTCGGCCATCGTTGCATAGGCTTCGAGTTACTGTCTCTCCTCCTTCTCCTTCTTCAATCTCGTTTTGAGTTGCAGAGAGGGCCAGAGATCGAAACTCTGGACTTTTCTGTCATGTGCTCTCTGACTCTGCCTCTCTCTCTCTACTATCCTACCCTTACCGCCGACGAAGTAGGAGCTCGTCACTCCCAAACAATGCCAGGTCCTTAGTCATACTTCCTGTCTCTATTTTCCTCGTTTGATGCTATCTTCACTGTCCTTGTTCACGTCACTGATGGCGAGAGAAATTAAGTCGCCGGAAAGGGTAGTGCTGATCGTGAGATTTTCCTGCTTGGTTTGGTACGGTTGAAGTCATTTTCATTCCTCCCCTGTGTACCATGCTAGATGACTCCCTTGCTTTAGATCACAGTTGGTTCAGCTTCGCATCTATTGCTTCAGTTGCTAGAATTTTCATCCGTTCGCACCTAGTGGGAGTTCGGTGAGGACACAAACTCTTTCTTTTCTTGAGTGGCAGCACTGTTAGACCTTCTTCATTCCCTATTCAGCTTATAAGCTTCCTCTTCTTCTCTTTTGTGATGATGGTGATTTAAGGTAAGAAGCTTCGACCATTAACTCCCTCGTTGTTGTGCGTATATGACTGGATTGGAATTGTGAATTGTTCCCCATTTTTTTGTTGAACACAGCAGATGCAGAGGTGAACAGCGAGCTACTAATTGCTCGAGTCATGTCCGGAAGGACACTGTCCTTAAGAACTATTCCGGTACACCTGGACGGCGGACCGGCAGTCCCCCAGGATTAAACGAGCACTTCCTGCGGCGGAGCAAGGGAACAAAAAAGCGAAGACTAAAAATGAGAATAGACGAACAGAAGATCAGAGGGAGGAGAGGACGAGAACATTGGCTCTCTATTCTGTCCGCACCCATGTCTATTTATAGGCCGAGGAATGAGACATAAACGTTAGGTTATAATTACCGGTTAATGCTTCGGTTATACACACATTAAACAACGAACGTTCATGGATTAATGCTTCAGTTACACGCCTTAAACAGCAGAAACGTGCACGTCCATTAATCCAAAAACGTTCAGCGTTCAATCTGGAGACGTTTGGCAGACAAAACATTAATGCACAAAATTTGGTTTCCAGAAAACTGCCAACGCCTCAAGTTCAAATTGAAAACAGCTAAATCAGAGGTTTTTCGGGTAAGTAAAAATAATTATTTAATTTAACCATTTTTGGAAAAATAACCCAGTAAAAGGAACCCAGTGCCTCTTGAACTCGCGTGCAGGGGGGCGAATCGGCTGATTTCAACTGTGATTGCCCTGAGTTAGCCTATCTCATGTGCGCGAGGCCACTTCTCTTCCAAGCCCATTTTACTAGCCCACTTCATTCCTTAGTATATATACACTAGGAGAGTCTTTTTTTTAATCAATGTGGGACTTTGACACACACACACTTTTGACACACATACAACATTTTCTACTGTGCACGAGTAATGAGATGTTGGGGATTTGGTTTCCTTTGAGTAATAAATTTGATTTTTGTTGGACAAAAAAAAATTTGGAAGGAAGGCTGAATTATTTCAAATATGAATATTATACTATTTGGGGAATGAAAATTGTAGAAAAGGAAGTGGGGTCTTGGTTGGAGAATTCATGTATGAAAGATATTTGATAAAATGCTTATTGGTAGAGTTTGTTTTAGTATCTAATAGTGATGGTTTCTTAAGGAGGATGATTTAGCTTAGATATTAGTATTTGTATATCTCAATTAGGTTTTGACAAGGGATATATTTAAGAAGCTGTCAAAATCTTATTTGAAGTTTTGAATTATTGAGAGTTAAATAGTTAATGATTTATAAGGTATATTATCATTTTAGAAGTCATACTTGGATGATTAGAAATGGTTAGGCAAGAGAATTAAAGGATGCAAGTTTTATTAAATGGTCTGGAGTATCACATATTAGGCGTTTAGTAAAAGTTTAAAAAGAAACCTTTAGGTGTGAATTTTATTCCTAAGTTTCAAAAATTATCATTTTATCAATTCTAGTTGAGTGGACTCTCTTAAAAGGAGACTTGTTAATTCAAAAGCAAAGTTCATGAAGATTTTATTATATATTATAGGATAATTGTAACCAGGGTAGCTTGATTGGAGTTGAAAGAAAAGAGTTTTGAGGTTGAAGGTACTACAAGTAAGTAGATAGCGTCCCAACTGATATTTTAATAAAAAATTTCTTCATTAAAATATTACATTTTTATGTAAATTTTTTTTACAATAACAATGTGATTATTAGATATTTTATTGATTAAATTACTTTATTTCGTGAAATTATTTTACCATAATTGATTATTTTAGTTAATTAGTTAATACAAGTTTGGATTTTGCTTATAAGATTTCATTCTGGAAATTATTGAATTGCTATGGAAAATTGATTCATGCGAGTTTGACATTGAAAATGAAAATTTTATTTTGAAAGTGATGATTTTCTCACATGTTTGAAAATGAATTTGAAGGGGACCTTATACAGAACACTGGTTGCTAATGGCAGTTCCGTTAGCCCTTGGCGCACCATGGTATACTTAGCTAGCAAGGTGTTCATAGGAGGTGCTAGCCTCGTGTGATGGCTAACACACGTGGAATGGAGGGATGGTTTTTTGTGAGCATCGTACTCACGTTTGTTTCATGGCTTCAAGCCGCATTTGGTTAGCTTTACCCCTGTGGACTGTATGTCTAAGTTTGTTTTATAGTTTCAGCTGCGTTTAGTTACTTACTCTCATGGACTGTGTGTCCATGTTTGTTTTCGTGGTATAAGCTGTGTTTGGTTATTTACTCTCGTGGACTGTGTGTCCACGTTTGTTAATTGTTCTAATAAGCCCCTATAATTATGAATCCAATTATTTGATGATTTTATATTCCATTGATGTTATTTAGTAATTTGTTTATAAATATTCATTTCATTTATGTGCTTTCTTGGAATCAAGTTCTATTAACATTTACCATGATAGTTCAATGATTTAAGACTTAATTTCAAAATTTTATAGAGTTATTCTATTTTAAAGTTTATTAAATTTTTATGAAAGCTGTTGTCTCTTTGACTCACACAATTATTTTAAATTTTTCCTTTTTATTCATGTTCTATTATTTATTGTTGGGATGTTATTCACTGAAAATTATTATTTTGGTCTCAGATACGTTAACTAAGGTTATGCCTTCCGCTAATCCTTGAGGGGCTGTAGTACTCAATTGAGATGAAAAGCTGTATTCAAGCTTCTTTAATATAAATTTAAGTCCATGTATTTTGATTTGTAAATTTCTTATGTCATGTGCTCCACATAAGCTATAGTTAGGGTCCTCATCCTTATTATTTATATTTTGTTATTTGTTGATTGGAAGAGAGTTCCTTGCTGCTACTATTGTTTTGTAAAATATTTGTAAATTTGTTTTTGGGAGATTTTATTTTAAGGGGAGATCCTATTGAAATTTTTACAAAAATATTAAATCTTTTGTTCATATGGGTTATATTAGAGATGATTTAACTTATTATAAAATGTCTTCATGGTCTATAAATTAGAGTTTTCTTGAGTAAAGACTTATGGGATATGGGTATTATCCCTATATTCTGTGCCGAACATGTCCTATTTTTGGGGTGTGACATCTAATCTCTTGCTGCATCTATAGCAACTTGAAGTCTCTCGTTCCATTTTAAAACTTTTGAGTTTTTCTCTGCAGACATGAATGTTTGATTAACACAGTGCCTAAAGAACCAAAACATGCATATGATGAGGTGCGTAACAATTCAATAAAGTATGAAATATGAAAATGTTAAGAGAATTTGAACAACAAATGTAAGTGTAAAATTTGGATCATTAATGCTAAGAATATTTTAGAAGAACGAGAAGGAAAAGTGGGTAAAAAATTAGAGCGTGGTAAAAAGTTTTGGGATTTTTTTTTCCGGGGGGGGGGGTAGCCCTTAAAAAAGTCGATATATTTTTCTCTCTTTCCTTTTTGATTGTTATCTTTTTTTACTATTATGACCGAAGAGGGTAATCAAGTCTCCCCACTTCAACTGATATACTCTTGGCATGGCAAAAGAAGCCAAATCACTTCAATCTGTGAGGTATTTATAATTCATTTTTGTTAAGTATCTAGTTTTTGATACTGGATACTTGGACAGTTAATCATTTTCATTGGAGTTAAAAGTAATTGGGCATCCAAATTCAACTATAGGAAACTAAATGATCAATTTTTTGGAAGTAATATCTGCAAGTGAATTGACGGGACAATACAAGAGATAGTGAAATCAGTTGAAGAGTCAGGAGTGTGAGTGGAGAAAGTTTAAGCTTCTTGATTGTAAATGTTAAATATCTTGTGTACAAGTTTTTAGTCCATGAAATAGTTCTTTCAATTCAAAGTCTTCATTATTCCTCAATTCTAGTGGAAGGCATTACAAGCTTGCCCATACCATTATCTGATGTTTTTATAAATTGTATAATTATATGAATATATTTAAGGCAAGAAAATCATAGTAAAATTATAACAACCGTTACGCAAAAATAGAGAAGCTTTGACCTGATTATTAAAACGAACCTGACAATAGTCCTCTGAGGTCTCCAAGATCCATATATTCATAAATCAATGCTTTAACGTCGTTTTCATCACAAAACCCAACAAGTGAAACCAAGTTTCTATGATGAATGACTGTTAAGAGTTGAGCCTACAAGTTAAACTTGGTTAGCTCTACCTCAGAACATCATTATTCATAAGAATGAAGAACATCATTCTACCACATAATAACTTGAATATATTCAATATTGAGTGATTAAAAAATTCTGAAAACTATTACTTGACTTGTTTTCTAACCTCTGGTTGAAATTCTCTATAGCCTTGCCTTGAAGTTGGAGAAAGTAATTTAACAGCAACCTGTGTATCATCTTCTAAAGTTCCAAGGTAAACTTTCCCGAACCCTCCTTCTCCAATAGCAGTTTTGAAATTGTTTGTAATACCGAGAACCTCCGAGTACGAAAATGTTGGATTCTAATGTTTGACAACTTCTATTTTTTGAGATTCGGTTAGCATGACTACAACATTAAATAAAATTTTGTGAGACTTTCATAATCTTATAAACTTGTAGAAGCAACTAGTTGACCTTAAAGCATTATATTGTCCATCCAAAGAGATTAGACTGTTTAGAGAAAGGGACCTAAAGCTGCAAATATTCAAAAAAATTTGGGATACGTTTCCATTAATGAATTGGCAGTAACATGCGTAAGAATAAATACCTCTCTTACGTCTAAATCTCCAGATCACCAAAGAAACGACAACAATTAGGATGACCGAAGCTGCTACTGATGCAATATGTTGAATTTCAAATTTGTGTTTTTGGCAGGAATCATATTGGCAAAGACCTGGATTGTTTCCTACCCTGGTAAAATCGAGCAGGGTTAGAGTTAATAATATGAGGATAATACAAATAATTTCATACTAAATTCGATTTATTATAATAAAGTATAGTTCTTCAATGCTTGCAATTTGGGGTTTGTTTTGTCCCTTAATATTTCAGGACAATGGTTAAGGAAATGTCCAAGCCCAGCACAGATAGGTACAATGAGAAGCCTATTCATCACAAGCCCAGTAGATAGCACATCGTATTTACCTCTGTATCTTTGTATATTATCTGATTACTTGTATACGTGGCTGTATCATATTGTCTTGGGTCCTGTACAAATACTCTATTTAAGGAATGAACGCATGGGTTTTTGTGCCCGGCATTGACCTTTCTTTCCTATTCTAATGTTTTCTTATCTATGATGGCGATGATTTCGTAGTTACAGAAGAATGGGGTTTCAATTATATTTAGTGTTTCATTATGATAGTTGCCATTACTGGGCTTGGAAATTTCTCTAAGTTTTGGTTTGTTTTGGTTGCACACTTATATTGGTTGTTTGTGTTATAAATGAAATAGTGTCGCTAGTGATCAATGAGGAAAAATTTAGAAGAGCCTATCCCAAAAACCGGAAACGCATTTGGAGTACTGCATGCTCATCACCCTTAGGGGTGATTTGGACCTTCATTTCTCTTCAAATAATCTCTACCGTTAATTTAAAACTATTTTTAAATATTTTTATATCATATTTATTAAAATAAAATATATAAAAATTATAATATTAAATATGGAATGTTTTTTTTATGTTTATTAGAGGATAAACATCATTGTAGTCATCACTCTTGAGATCCGGATAGTCCAAATTTAAGCATTTTTATTTTATATTTATTAAAATAAAAATATGTAACAAAATATAGAAATCTTTAATAAATCTATTTATTACCAATTTGAATTTGATTTGGATGACCTAATTTAATATTATTTTTTTAATATTTTTTAAAAATTGATTATCTAAATGTACTCTAAATAATACAGATATGATCTAGAAGATCCAATTTAATATTAAAAATTTTATGATTTTACCTAATTCACCATCTAAATATACCTTAGATAGTCATATTTAATATTATAATTTTTGTTGAGATAGAGATCATTAGAGAAAAAAAAATAAAGGCTCCAAATCACCCCTATGGGGTGATGATGTGCACAGTACCGAATGCAATTCCCCAAAAAACCTTTCACATTAGATAGAAGAGTCATTCACACTTATAATGTGAAACTCATAATATGATGAAAACTAGGAAAGAAGAATGATAAGAGTGGGAATACAGTAAAAAATTTCTTGTCAAAGGGAAAAGGGTCGTTTTGACTTTTTTTAAATTAAAAAATGAATGTCTTCTACCATTTTCTGTATCATGGTAATCAATGTTCTGTTGCCTTTGGTTCCATCATCATCCTTTTCGAAAATTAAACAGGCCCCGAGGTTCATTATGGTTTGCTAACATATAAAAGGTTATTATAATTTTATTAAACCCACCTTGAGGAATTAATTAAAATAGAATTTGACGTTGAAGACAAGTAAACCTGAGCTGCAACTTTGTATTTTCCTTCAAAGCCTTAGGAATTGAACCAGTGAGCTTGTTTCCTGCCAAATTACTGAAAATGGAATTCAAAGATACACGACTTCAATCACAATCTAAGCATGAAAAGCTCAAATATGAAATTTTAAGGTCTTACAGGAATTTCAAATTCGGAAGAGTTGAAAGAAACTCTGGTAGCTGTCCAATCAAATCATTGTTTGACAAATCCCTGTGGAGATAAGTGTTATTCATAAAATTTAACAACATGCTTAATAATATATAGTATTTAAAATTTAGATCCAATCTTATCTTATGTAACAAATTACAAGGGCTCCAATTTTAACAATCGGGCAAAGGATTCAGTTATTTGTCTTTTGAGGTTGCTTGAGCTCAAGTTCCTACAAATTACATATCCACCATTATAAGCAACTAAGAGAGAGAAACGAAAGGGAATCTGGAGGAAGGCTATAGGTTTAAATATATGATTGAGATATATCATCAAATTAAGGCAAGCTGAATATTTCACGAATGCAAAATCACCACTGTATTAGTCATACCTGATAATATTAGGGCATTCTATTATCCTCATCAACTATTGTGTGCAAGATATTGTCCTTAAATGAATCATATATAACTTCATAAATAAGAGTGGCAATGCAGGGCTGCTTACAATGAAAAGATCCTTATATTATTGCCGGAGCTGCAAATCAGGCCATCCCATGCTAATTTTGATGGAGCACATGGGTCCCCTTGCCAACTGATTCTAGAGATCCCATAAGTATGCTTGATTTCCATTATGGCATTAACTGCAAAACCAGCTGGATGATGCCTAAAACAAACGAATGAAAACAAATAAAAAAAGGGGTTAAAGTGCATTTTCCCCTTCAACAGTCAAAAATAGTGTACTAGATACCTTTATGTTAAAAAAGTTAACTTTGATTGTTAGTTGATCAAAAACTTACATAAAAGACCTAAAAAAAATAGAAAAAGACTCATAAAATTTGAAATAATTACCCTATAAGAAAATTAGTATCAATTGAGTTTCTAAAATAATGGTTTTACGTGGCTAGGTAAAAAATAACATATGTACCCTGTTATTTATATCTAATTTGTGAGACTTAAATTAATATTATTTTTCTCATAGTATATTTATGTGTAAATTTATGAGTTCTTTTCTATAATTTTTGAGGCCATTTTCTATAATTTTTAAGTCAACTAAAGGTCTTAACTTTTTTTAATGGCAAGATGCTCAAGGCATTATTTTCAAATGTTAAAAGGAAAGTTGCACTATGTAAAAGTTTAGAATATCAAATTCTCTTGAGTGAATAGCTGAGAGGTAATAATACCCTTTAACCCATTAAAAAAATAATACCATCTTGTGTTGCTGTGGGGGCATTGGGTTGTGGGCCAACTTCATAAATTTCATAGGCATTCAGGATAGGAGGAGCATCTGAATTAGCTACAGTTGTGACATTGAAGCCAACATGATCTTTGGTCATCTTGTTGGAAATTAAAGTGACAAGCTTCAAGTATTCAAGTGTAAGTTCACGAGAGAGTGCATGTTCATCATCAAAAGTGACATTGATAATCCTCTTGTGGCCAAAAGGAAGCTTTTGAATTTCGGTGAAGTGAAGAAACATATAATAATGTTTAGATATATCGGAAAAACTCCAACTCGCATTTATGACTTTGGAATCATTTAGGGGCTGCGATGCAGCCCATAATACTTCTGATGGCAGCTCATAAGGGGTGATTATTTCTACCTTTCCTTCTACACTTGCTTTCAACACATCCCAATTGTTACCATCATTTGTCTTCCACAATCGGTCAAACACATCGTCCTTGTACCTGCAGGACAATGCAGGAATACATTCGTTTCAGCCAAAAAAAAAAGAAGAAAAAAATAAACTTTGAATATAAGAACTATTCTTTTTGGGACTAGAAGCCTCTAATGTGTCTCTTTGATGATTTTTGTAATGATCCAACTTTCCAATTTCCTTTTTCATCGGATTATTGATTTCTACATAAAATAAAAGATATTTTGATATCTTTTGATGTCTCAAAACAGTGGAGTTTTATAATGTTTTTACAATTTTTCAAAAACAAAAAGGTGTAAATAGAATAGGCAATTAGGGCCAAGACCGTCGGTTAGCCATTTTAAACTCAAAAATAACAAGGGCCAAGCCACTACTCTAGGATAAAAAAATGGTAATCTGAGCCTAAAAGGGTTGCCCTAATGAGCTTAAAAATAAAAGGGCAGGCCATTTAAAAAATTAAAATTAAATGACTAAATAAAACCCTAGACTCATTAGTCATCCTCATCCATCGACTTCGATAGCTAGAGCTCCCACTACACTTGCCTTACCTTGTTACCCTTATACCCACTACCACTTCACACACAATTTAGTGCCGTGGCTAGCCGACAATCCCTTGCCTCCCCTCAACAAGCGTCGATGTTTAAGTTTTATATATTGTGATATGAATTTAATTAAATTTATTTTCTTACACTTAATTTTATGTGTAATAAAATTTTTTGGATTATAAATATGTGTCTTTTAGGTTTTAAAATTGAAAAAGGAAAAAAATAGGCCTTTTCTTTAAAAAATCATAAAAAATTTCAAAACTTCACTGTTTTAGAATTTCAAAATACCTCTCTCTTATTTTATATAAAAGTCAATTATCCCAAAAAAAAATGAACTTGGGAAGTTGGGCAATTTGAGAAAGACATGTTATAGGGCCCCTAGCCTTTCTTTTCGTGGATTTTTTTTTTAAAAAAACAACTTTTGAACTAATAAAAACAATAGACAAAAATGAAAGTACCTACCTAACAAAAAGGCTCGAAAGCTTGGAACCACAGTTGACTCTGGACCATAGAGATAAGGGAAGTGAAATGGTCGAATAGAGAGAGTTACTTAGTAGCCTTAATTCCAAAGTGTTGATAAAAGGAGTGCCTTGTCCAGTGTTCACCAGGCACACCTGAACCGTCTGGTCAGAGGGAACCTGCTGGATTGTTTCAAAGAAACTGAAAAAAGTTGAATTAGGAAGATGAATTGTTGTCCAATAATTGACCCCAATGTAGAGATCAAAAACTGGAACCATGTTTTTGAAGTCATAATTCCCATATGCAAATATTGCTCTAATCAGATACTTTTGATTCTTCTCCCATATTAGTTTTGGTTTCAGAGTGTAACAGTTTCTTTTCCCCTCTGGAAAGCTTCTTAGAGTCAGTAGCTGTCGGTTTACGTGTGGAAAATTGTTGAAATTAAGGTCGGGGGATACTCCATAATTTTCTCCACTGCCAATGAAGTCTTCATCAGTTTGGTACCAGATTCCAGTTTCTTCATCCACGTAATTTCTGCTTGCTCCACAATCTATGCTCATGAAACCTGCATCATGTGTATGTTATCCTTGTATTGAGTAAAATTTCCTCAATTCAATTTGTACATTTTAGAAAAGGGAATATTGGAAAAGCAGGTCAAGTGCTCAATCACCTGAATCATGGGCTGAGTGGCTAACAATGATGAACGAAACAAACTCATACAAAAGTAGAATCCACAGAGGTGTGCTCTTCATGTGTTCAAGTTTATGTGAAAGAGGAAGAGGGAAATGAAGTGCTTTCAGAAGCAGAAAAGGAGTGTTCTAAATATAAATAAGAGGAAATTAATTTTTTTTCCAACAGAAACAAATTAATCATTTGATTCTTACAATTTATCCTTGGGAAAATTATGTATAGATCCTATGGAGTAGACTTATTTATAAGTAAGTCTTGCAAAATTTAAAATCTATAGCCAAATTACTTAGAATCTGAATATAATTTGAAATTAGAGTAGAGTGCCCCAATTAAAAATGATGCCCTTAGAGACAATAATGCCCCTATTGAAAATACATTACATCAATCAAATAATTTACAACTAGTTCATCAATAATTTACAACTATCACTTCAACTTTTTACAAAAAAGTTGAAGTTAAAGTTGTAAATTACTGATGAAGTAGTTGTAAATAATTAGTATTAAACTTCGTTAGTAATGCAAAATCAATTTAACTATTAGACATGCGAAATTATAATTATAAAAAGTTAAAGTGATAGTTATAGTAATTATAAGTAATTAGTGTTAAACTTTTTAATAATGTATAATTGGTTTAACTATTAGATATGTGAAATTATTATTGTAAAAAGTTGAAGTAATAGCTGTAATTACTTATTGATGTAATATATTTTTAATAGGGCATTATTGTCTTTTGACCCCAATTTTAAATTGCACTCAGGTCTTAAAAAATCTTGCTGTAATTTATAAATTTGCAAGAATTATGTGTAAATAAGTATGCTTTATGGGACCTATGCATAACTTCCCCTTTATTTTAATCTTTAATCTATCTGGCTTTTGTTTCTTCTTTTTAATTGCCCCCTAATTTCGGAAAAAGTTATTCTAAACAATAATTTAAGAGTCAACATTTACTTTGCCAAATACAATATATCTTATCTTTTTTTATCAACAATATACTTTATATTATCATGACTCACCTTCTGCATATGAAACCTTGCTGATAAGTTTTTCTCAGTAAATTGACAAATAAATAAAACCCCTCATTTAAATATATAAGAGTCTATAAATTTGGGTTTGATCAAAATTTAAATTCACGTTTTATTTTTTTTTTTCAATTTCAAATTTTCTCTAGACTCTAGTTATTTGAAATGTTAGCTGTTATAATCCTCTCATTTTCTACACATTTTCACTATTATAGATGTCCTTGTTACTCTAGCTATCCTATCATCTCTCATGATTGAATAGAGATAAGCTCGTCATTCCCAATTTTTTTTTTGCTTCAAATTTTAGCTCATTTAATCTTCTACCTTTAAAAATTTTAAATGCATAGATTTTAAATATAAGATTTAATCTAAAATTCAAATTCAAATATATCAATCTAATCATTACCTCAAGATTATCAAAAATGAAATATAAAAGATATATAAAAACATATGATCCCTGAATGTGGAAAATCTATTCCTTAATGATCATTAACCACCCAATAAAAAGTAATTCAAGCGTGGTTTAATATTGTTGTCAAACTTTCAAGTTGACTCTTTAAGTTTATAGTTTTTACATTTTTAGTTTATAAAATTGTATCAACTCGTTCATAAATTGGGACTAAATACAAACTTAGTTAAACTTGTAAGTTGACTCTTTGATATTATTATTTTTATATTTTTAACTTACAAAATCATATCAATTCATTTATAAACTCAGACTATAGATGCAAACTCGATTAAATTTGCTAAGCACTTGTTGATTTTTGTCAAGTTGAGTGGCATAGATAACTCACTTCATTGAAGTGCTAGACCCGATTTAAAGAAAAAATAAAATTCAAAAAGAAAAACTCATTAATAAAAAAGAAAACAAGAAACTCCAAAAATATGTTTCCCTATTTTGAAATTTTAACATTTAGAATGATAATCTATCAGTGTAGATAAATTTAAATCAAATTATTATATTTTATATTTTAATATTTAATTATATACTTTTAATTGCTATTTATTAATAAAGGTAAACTCTTATGGGTTTAAAATCTGAGCTTACGATTCAAATTCACATCCCCATTACAAGTTTAATTACTTAAACTCATGAGTTTGATAATCTTAGGTTTAAGGTTTTGACAAGTGGTGACAACTTTGTATAACTAGATTGGACTTATGTGAATTAAAAAAAAAACAACAACAACAAATTTAAACAAACAATAAATGTGGTATAGTAATTTCTCTCGCAGCATATTGAATATATGTTCTTAAAATAAAAGTTAGGGCTAGACTTAATTATATAGGTTTTTTTAAAAGGGTAGAATACTTTAAACCTAATCTGAATAAGCTTGGCCAAAATTACTCAAATAAGCTCACCTGCTAGAATTATTGGCTCTATATGTATATAAAGTCAGTAATTCTGACCAAGCCTGATGAGCACTCGAACCTGGCCAAAAAAAGTTGAAGTCAGAGCTTAATAATATGGACTTTTCTTAAAAGATAGGATACGTTAAACCCAATCTAAATAAGTCTGGCTCAAATTGAGCTTGGCCTACCTGAATTACTAGCTCTAAGTAATTCATTCTTATTCTTCTTCTTTTTCAAATTTGAATAGACTAATATGGTGGGAGGGCAATTTTTGAAATGAAGAGCCTATTTGATTTCTGCTTTCATTTTTTATTTTTAAAAATTATTTTACAATATAGTTTTTAGAATTATTTTTTAAAACAAAACAAAATGAATATATGTTTAGTTGTGTTAATTTAAAAATAGTTTTAGAATTAAAAAATAAATCAATAGTGATGGTTACAAGCAATTAATGACAATGACTTATAATAATTATTGGTTAAGGTAAATGTAGTTTTCTATAATCCAATATAATGTATTTTAAAAATAAGAAAAATGAAATGAAAACATTTTTAAGATGTTTCTATTTTTTGTTTTTAAAAAACAAAAAATGAAAATAGTTTTAAAAATAATTAACTTGAAAATTCTCAACCAAGCAAGTTTTAAATTTTTGTTTTTCTAAAAAAACTATTTTTAAAAACAAAAACTAAACATGCCCAAAGTTTCCTTCTCATTCTCTCCTCATCTGGAGAGAAAATTTGAAAAGAAAATGTGGTGGTCTTACACTGACGTTTCCCCTCTATTTTTCCTTTTCCTAGTTTTTAATAATATTCTTATAAAATATTAATTACCTTGAAAATTTGTTTTCCTCATTATTTGTTTCTTAGTTTTCTTTCCTCCCATATTTTTTCTCCATCCAAATAAAAAGCATTACCTTGAAAGCATAATATTTTCCACTGAACTTTGGGCGACCTTCCCAACTCAATTTGGTTTATCTCCAATCCCGGTAGGAAGCATTTCGAACAAATTTTGGCAGTCCAAATTTCTTTTTCATTTATATATTTTAATAATATTCTTATAAATATTAATTATGAAACGTCTAAATTTGATAACAGTCCTAATTATATTACTTACTCCATGAAACTGAATTGAAATCCTATATTATATCTAGTTAGTACGTCATGATCAACAAAATTAACTAAGTCAAACAAGTTGAATGAATGACACTTGTAGGTCATTCGGAGGAATTGTTGAAGTTTGAATTTGATGTCGTGATTGATTTTTTTTTTTAAGTTTTGGTAGAAGATGCCCATGTTGATCTTAAATGCTGATCATGAATCTAAAAGAAAGGAAAAGTCCATTTCCAATTGTTAATTTTGAACAATAAGTTTTGGATTACCAAAATACGAGTTCTATGAATCAATTATTGTCGAATCCATTTCGTAAATACATACACTTAGTGTACATTTGGTTTCATTTTATATCTGACAAAAGTATATTTGGAAGATACAATTATTTGTTAAATTTGGTAAAATCACATCCTAGATGTGATTTGGATGTACTTTTAAGAGTTCTCTAAACAAGCCTTTAGTACTATTAAATAAAAGAATAAATATGCATTTTTGCTCCTAAAATATGTTTTGAGGATTACCCTGCATACTAAACTATTGATTTGAGTAATTTTGCCCTTCAAATAATTAAAATGAGATATTTTTTCCCATGTCATCAAATTTCTAACATTGGCTGTTAGAAAATGCTAACTAGGACTACAACATTATTAAATTTTCGGGAATTTAATAGTAAGGGCAAATATGCTCTATTTTAATTACTTTAAAGACAAAATTGCTTTGACTAATAATTTAGGGTGCTATATACCCTTGAAAAATACTTCAATGACAAAAATGCATCTTTATCCCATAAAAAATATCATGAATTCATCATGCCAATGAGGTTGGGGACAACACAAAATTTTGTAAATTTTGAAGTTAATAATAATTTCAAATTACATGAACAAGCGTTAACGTTAGTCATTGTGGAAGAGACAATGATCGCTTAAGTACAAGATATCAAGTTTGAGTCAAGTCCATGTGAATGCCCAAAACATCATAGGGAGAGCTACTTGGACGTGATTATAAAAATTGACATTGAGAGAGTTACCCTCAATTGAGCCAAACAATATTCAAATTAGACTTAGTCAAGTGGTTATAACAAAGGAAAATAATTTTAAATTATTTCAATTAATTAATTAATATGAACGTATCATTTTAATTATATGCTTGTTCAAAGTTGCAGATGTATTGTCTAAGACTTCATAATCAAATTGTTTAACAAATTATACAAATGATTAGACTATCAAAAACATATATATATATATATATTATATTGCGAATGGAAACAGCTGACAAATTTTTAGCATGAAAAAATATATCTAGGATTGGTTATTATTTTCTTCTGGCAAATTTAATAATTCACAATAAAATATAAGAATTATAATATGCCGCCCTAATCCTATTCATTATTTATAT